GAGCTAATAATACTTTACGTCCTGTTTTATAAGGCTATTACGTTCGAGCCGGATCATCTTTATTGTTATAACAAGTGTGGTCGTCTCTTTCGGCTTCTGTCAAAAGGAAAATGTCCAACATCTGTCAATTTGACAAATTGTTTTTTTTCGTGTTCACCATTCACCACATTCACCTCTCATGGTTTTGTGTGCCGGTTTCATTTAAAATTCGCTTCGATCATCGAATCCGCTTCAGCGTAGATGCAATGAGGAAACGGAAACAATGCAACAATGGTAACTTAATCGGATGCTTGCTACTTTTACAGGTATTTTATTCACTACAAAAAAACACATATTTAAATCAATATACATATGTAATTTTATAATATGGTAATAACACTATATTTTGAATAGAATATATTTTGACCATCTCATCCCACACCAATATTATGGATAGCTCCCTTTATTCTATTTTGATCCCTATTATCATGGTAAAATGACGGACTTTTATGGAATTACCTCCAAGAAAATTGTGCAGAATTTGATACCTTGTGTGGTTAAAATTGGTTAGTCGAGATTCATATTTTCTGACATAGTTGATGTTGGTGGTCTCAAGATTAGCAAGATAGCTATTGGAGTATGTATAATTTTAGTTGCTATTAAAGCAAATGTTTATACAGGTCCAAACAAATCACTTATTTAGTATTGGGTAACAGTGTGACCACGTTGTTGAGAAGAAGCCACATTCAAAAAATCGAAAAATCATTTGGTTTGCATGTTGAATTCAAAGGATTTCTAGGAATAACTGGTTCAAAAGACTTCTTCCCTTCTGAATTTAGTCTTTCTCTTTAGCTGGTATCTTCTTAGTTTGTAGTTTTATCTGTCTTCTTCAGAGTGTTGATTGCTGGTTTCTGAGTGCCTTTCTTTGTATGTGGATTAGAATAAAAAGTACTTTTCTAACATTTTTCTAATTCATCCTCTTTATAGCTTTACATTTTTTTCTTCTTTTGAGTTAAGTTATGCACTTAGGGGCCAATGTATTATTTTATATTGTCTAATATCCGTTTATAAATTAGTCCTAACTTGTGTTGTTATTCTAATTAGTTTCAACTATGAATTCGTACAAAACTTTGATGACGCATGAATTGAAACGATTCTGAAAAGGACTAGAGACATTAATTAATTAGTCATTCGCGTCTATATAGCTGGAATTCACGTATTTTTTTAGAATTTTTATCTTTTAATTCTGTTGTTATTAATTCTAAATGTGTTTTTATGATTTTTGATTGTGGTCAATGTACGAAATCGGATTTTAATAGTGTCACGGGTGATGACAGGGCGGCTACGCCGCGAATTGCCGGGTTACAAGGCAATTATGGACCGCCGCAGGATCCCTTTATATCGGTCGTTAAAAAGCGCCTCGTACTGTCTATACACTCTCTTCGTCGGGTCGTAAAATTAATTTTTCATAACGACCGTGTCTCTGTTACGCTACCTTATTCTCACATCCAATCAATCTCAAATCTCTTATTTAACAAATTTTTTTTTTTTTGAATTTTTGTTAGCCTTTTTACTAATTAGTGTATTCGGAATCTGTTAAAATTCAAAAAATGCACTTATCCAAAACATATTTTATACATATTTTATCGTATTTTCTTGCGATAATGATTCAATTAAGACGATCCCTCTCGCGCAGGAATGTCGCCCGCTTTTTCATCATCCTAAATTGACCGATTAAAGCCTGGGTGGCTGTTTTTATCGAAATTCATAAGCCCATCTTTGCAGAAATTAATAACGCTTAATTGAGCCTGTACGGTCGCAATCAGGACCCCGATTCATGAATTGCTCTCGTTCCAATTGTTCCTCGGCACTTTTTGAGTATTTAACAATTTGCTTTTCGGAAAAATAATTTCCTGAAAAGAAATCACAACAAAAATTTAACCTTCTAGGGGAACAACTTACAATGTTTTAATTCAGAAACATTTCAAATTCCTGTTGGAGCTGTTGTACGCACACACTGAAACATTGTAATTTGGTAATTAATACTAACGAATCTTTTACGTTAATACTTGTTAAAATTTTTCAGTTTCAATTAAAACCGAGAACTTGTATAAATTACATGCGTGAGTGACTAATTTGTTTGACGTCGTTGTGACGAAGTTGTAGGTGGATAGATTCTGTTAAATAACAATGGGTTTTTTTGATTGTCGTCTTAATTTCTAAGAAAAAAACGGGAAGAAAAATATCGACATACTTTTTGAAAGGAGATTTTGACGTTCAAAATAATCTTAGAAACGTTGTTATTACGTTAGAATTTTTTCTGAAAATTTTCTGTCTCCCAAGGAAATTTATGCTTGGCGTTATTTATATTAATCGACTGATAAAGAAAGCACTTCCTTAAAAACCGCAATACAAAACTCGTTGAGGTTTTTGTTCAGGATGTGCTCAAATATTAATTTTCAAACTAACTGGTGTTACGTACATCCTGTTGCTTATTACGCAAAGAGAAGACGAAAAATGGTTTTTGTCCGAAAAATCCTGTTAACCTACATTTAGTACCAAGAAATCGCAGATACCGAGATATGACTAAAATCAAAAGAAAATTTTAATTCCGCTTGTCCTGATGACTTGCAGAATAATCCTGGGGGCCGCCCTCCTTTACCTGTTTGGACTCGAGTGATTATACCAGAACCATTTATAACGGCGGAAAGATCTTGGGTACAAAGACACCGCCCATTTAAGAGCTGTATCGAATTCCGACGTTCTATTTCGTACGAGCGGGCGGCGCCTTTGGCCCAACAGGTGCCATTTACATAACAATAAATCGGCCGCAAACCGGCGTTAAAAAATTAACAAAAAAAATGACAAAAAAACTCCCTGATTATTAATCTACAGAAACCCTATATCGCTTCTTCTTCAAAAGGACCCCCATCCAAACAGTAAACCACACAGTGGTTGGTTGTTTATGTATTTATGTAACCACAGTGAGTCAATACTTGCATTAGTTATGCAAAAATAGCTTGCTTATGATTTTAATATTGAAATATTGCGTAAGTTGGATAATTTTAGGATTTAAAGATGAGATGATTAAACACCGGATGGGTAAAAAGTACGAATCGATTTAAAAACATTGCAAAAAATATAAAGAAAATTGCGTTTAGTAACCACAAGAAATGACGACAAGATGCTAATTTTTATTGCAAATTTTATGGGGGGACATATATGTTTTTGAATCAAATCCTTAGAATCTACTGGAATGTAGATATTTTTATTATGTTGTAAGTTTACGAAAATTAATGAGGAACTTATGCAAATTTAAAAATTTACTTTTGTTTATTTACATTTTTCTTTGACTCATACTTGTTTCATTTTATGTACTAAAAATAACAAAAAATTAAAAAAATGATATTGCATAAAATTATAAAATATAATTATCTTAGAGGATATCAAGAAGGCGTAATGAAAAACGATTTGAGAGATATCAACGACTACGTTGAGAGGCGCTGAAAGGAAGTTGCATATCAATAATGATAATGTTCATTAATATCTAAGAATATGTTGATGGAAACCAGGACGATTTAAATATTAAGGACGATATTGAGATATATCAAGGGAAATGTTAATATGATGAAAAAGAGTTGGCATAAAGTTGAGGTAGGTCAGGATAATGTTGAACGATGTCAGGGATAATATAAAGTTATGTTAATAGATTATGAGAAAGATATTGAAGGTAGTCAGCGACATTTTTGAGCGATTTAGTCCCAATACAAGAAGTGAGAATATCAGGGAATCAAACAGGATATTGTGATCATTCTTCAAAATCATTTTACTAATTTACTGGTCATTATGCATGTTTGGTTACCCTCTGAAATTTTCCTATCCATTTATGGAGCGATATTCTCTTTGACATTCCTAGGCATTTTTTGGAGAATGGTTATTTTGATGTATGTTGAATACAAGCTGATCCTACCGGATAGATCAGTAGTGTATCCCTGAAGCTACTCCGTATATTATTTACTGTAAAAGCTCTTATCCACAATTTTTTGAAAACTTCTTCGAAATCAGTCTTCCTCGTTGATGGTTTTCAAAGTGGTTAAGCAATCTGATGAAAATATCCGTTGTCATAAGGCCCCTGCTCCAGGTGTTTTAAGTTACTCATTCTGGCTTCAAACGTTGATCTTTGTAGATCATCAATTTAAACTACTGCAGTGCGTTGTATGACTCCTTAGTTCCATAATAATCTTAGAATGGTAGTTTTAACATACGTAGTTTCATAGTAAAGTCCTTGGTACCACACAAAGTCGAATGCTTTCCAACTATCACCGAATATTGTCTTAGTTTGAAATCGAAATCATCACCGACAAAGAATACGATATGGATCTATTTAGGTTGGAACCCAAATTGGTGCGATGCGATTTTCTATAAGAGAGATTATATAAAAATTAACTAAATTATATTTTTGAATGTAATTTTATGACTAATTCTTGTTATCTTAGTGGTAAATATAATCAAACGTTATATACAATTACAGAACTGCTTAAAGCATTCTGATTCATCTTAACGTTAATTATATCCACCTGCAACAGCATGTTTATTTTAATTTTATGATATTTATGGGGAAATCCTAAATTAAACCTGAATGAAACGACTCAGCTATAAAATACCGATTGAAAATTGTGTCTCGATGGTGGTATGAAAGAGATATTGTATCTGGTTGTATCAATAGTAGGCCGTGCAATGATGACGATGACGTCGCCGGTTGACAGAGGATCTCGTGGCGGCGTCGGCCGGGACGGTGCCCACTACGATTGGATGCGGAAGAGCCGCTTCTTCGCGCCGAGACGTGCCGGCGCACTCTAGATTGGGGGAAGGGGGGCGCCCTCAACACTTCATGAATGACCAGGAGGTCGGACCAACTTTTCCCCTCCCCCTGAGGCCTTACACGCACTCGGATATATAATGTTGGCGAAGTCTTTCAAATGAGTAACCGCTTAGTCGCATACACGCTCTCACATAAAAGACGACGTCCTCGTCAATCCGAGAACCTCCGGCGCCGGTTTTTTTTTGTATTCGAAATCTCAAAAACTTGTACAAACAAGATTGAAATCACCTATTGAAAATTAATATTTTTATAAATCGATATAAAAGTGAAAATGTGCATCAACGGAGATTGTGACCATCCGGAAGGGATGCTGGATCGTGATCTAAGAACGACGAAATCATCGTTAGACGAAAGAACCACGCGGATCACGTCCGTTCCGGATGCGAATAAGTGTTCCCGATTAGGATCGAGTAAATCAGTTAAAAGGACGAGATCGTGTAGTACGTGCTCCTTCAGGAATCTGTGCCACCACTTGCGGAAGAGCTTCCACAGTAAGTCGGGCTTTTTAGCGGTGTGTGCCAAGGCGGAGCTTGCTCCGACCAATCAGCGTTCGGTTCACCACCTGTTACACGCAGCTTCCAAAGACCGTAACTTAATTAGGTTTCTCTCCGCGACGTCGATTAACGGTCATTAAGGCCCATAGAGACCAACGGTAGCGTCATAAAACAACTACCCAAGAACTTTTTTACCCGTCTTAATTTCTTCTGACTTAAATGTTCTAGTTCAAGTTGTTTTCTTTTTGTTAATCTTTTTCTTTCATTGTTGTAGAATTCAAGCAGGCCGTAACAGTCTTGCTCTGTCTATCTTACGTCGTCGGTATCCCGACGACTTCTTCCCTACCGGTCACCAGGACTTCCAGGGAAACGATGGCCGACCAAAATCCAGCTCTTAAACAACTAGAGTCCATTAAAAACACCGCCAAGCATAATGCATATCAGGCTAGAGAATATTTTAATAACACATTTGTAAGTAAAAATTTTAAATTTATTTCAAAAAATGTTTAAGTACTTTATTGATAATCATAAGATTATTAGATTACAAAAAAAAAATTGAGATTACCTGCTTATATAACCTGTTTAAACTTGCAAATTCTTATCTAAACAGGTCTAATCTTGCTAATCATTTTATTATCTAAATAGGAAAAATATGAATTAACTGATTCTCAATAATGTATTAATGTTGCAATAATTGTAATTGATACGATCGTAAATTTTAAACAATTTAATCTAAAACGTTAAGATGCTGCAAAAATTATTTGCAATTTCTAGACGTTTCAAAATGTTTTGAAATCTAAGCGTTTGCTTTTTTTATGTAAGCCATTTCTATCTAAAAATAAATTTTGATTTTGGATTTTTCCGCGTGCGTAAGTTTTTCATTGAAACGCACGGGTTCATTGATGAATCGGCTCGCGGGCGACGGCGACGTCTCGATTGGTATGCACATCGCCCCGTATATTATACCGTCCGTTGATGTCTGATTACATACTATCATATTTTTCGTCTTCGTTCAACGCGAGGTTGGCGCCTAACCTCTTGCTCTCTCTCTATCGGAAACAAACGAATCGTGTCTCTGTTCAACATCCGGCAAAATACCGTCCTCCGACCAAGTGCCTTTCCGTCCGTCTTTTATTAACGCACATTGCTAAGCGCGTTAATAAACGCGCGCCAAGAGGAAATCCATAGTCCCCACGTTATTACTATGGATAGGTGATTCTCAACCCAGCAGGATTTCGTCTAGACAGATATACCGATAACCGGCTGCGAATTACTCTCCTAATTGTTCCCTTCGCAACTTTAACAATACCTTCAACTCAAAATTAAAACCTTATTAAAATTTCGGAATTAGATAATTATTTAAAAACAGGTTACCAACCAGGATAATTACTTTTTATTGTGCTAATATACATTAAAAATCGTTTTACTAATAACACCAATAATTAACAAAAAATTAAACAATAAATCAAAACATTCAAACAAAAAAATTGAAATAAAAGTTGATTCAAAAAAATTGAAAAGATAGATCAATTTTTGTTTTAGATTTTTTATTGTTTGTGAATTGGAAAGAAAAACGCCAACTCGGTTGGTTGTTGTTATAATCGACGTCGACGGAATTAGAAACTCGAGCTGCACAGAGCAACGTTTCGAGCACTTGTGTTGTGCATCGCCTACTCGATAGAAGGCGTCGAGCTGTCTGACACACACAAGGCCAACTTGACGACGACGGCTGTTGTGTAGCGCACACGCTCTCACTCACGTTATCGCGACTCTCTCGAGACACTTGTTTACGTTACACACTCATACATTTATAACATCAAGGAAAAGATAATTTTTACTAATCGCAAATCACAAAATTTTTGCAATTTGGTGATCAAAAAAATACAAAACAACCCTATCAAACTGTTTCTGACAGGTTCAATCTCAACTAATATAAGTAAATCACATGCGAGTACATTATTTGACATCAATTACCACCAATCAATTAGACACTAAATCAATTGTCCACAAACGCCGTCGGTAAAGTGAATTTTCAAATCCCTTTGAAAACAGCTTTGCTTTGTAACGATATGGTACCGGTTCCAACTCCTCGAGCAACTTTGCCTATAGATAAGATTTCGCCTTATCTTATTTTATGATCTATAATGCAAATGAAAACTCGTTTATTCTAAAATGCTGTCAAACAATATGTTAAAAATCAAATTATATCAGTTTTGTCAAGCGACATGAAAACTGCCCAACTTCGTATGACATCAAATCCAACGCAAGCAATATTGGCAAATTAAATTTTCATTTCTCCTCCAACTGCCTCGGTTGTAAGCAATTTCGGTAAAGTGAACGGTCCTGTAATCAAACATCAATTTGATTAGAATCGTGCTAGAGAAATATCAAACATTCTTAAGAATTATCCAACTTTGTAACTTTATGATATTGATTTCACTGCTCGACCGCAACCGACCTAGGCAAAGTGAAGCGTATTTATTCCCTTTTTACCTTAAATTTCTCGATATACGGATAGTATTTTAATCAAGAATCATTTTTCTTGGAATACTGTCAGATAAGATATCAAACTCAACTTTGTAACTTTATGGTATTGATTCCACTACCTCAGGCGTAAGCGACCTCGGCAAAGTGAGGCATAATCATTCCCTTTTACCCTAGATTCCGCGATAGACTTAGAAAGTTGTTAAAGAATTGGCTACAAGTAAACTAAGCAAAGTGAGATTTCAAATTCATTTCTAATGCGAAAACTGATTTTCCATATTATATTTCTTAGTATATTCGGTTGCATATTAATTTTATTTTATTTTCTTTGTTAGCTGACAACAAAATATCCGAATATTGATTTATACAACAACAACAATTACACCTTCTTTTTCGAGCATATACCAAAAGATTTCAAGTTTCCACAGACAGTAATGTTTAATTCGACCGTTTTAAAAGGGATGACTGTAAGTTATTAATTTTTATTCCAACTTTGATTAATTAATTTGATAGTTAATTTAATTTTTTGTTTCAGGTAAATGAATTTACACAAATCTTTTATGATTGCTTCTTGCGATTTAATGCAACGATGGACATGTTAAAAGAAAAAAATGAGGTGATTAATAAGTTGAAGGTGTTATTGGAGGAGTTTGAGGAATACATTGCAATAGAAAATATAGAACCGTTGAAGATGAAGTACGATGAAAGTGATATAAAGCTGGGAAAAGATGAGAGTGATACGGGGGAAAGATGGGTGAGGGATATGATCATATATAGGGATTTCGCTAAAACGATGGAGTATGTTGACAAAGCTTACGAGTATTTTTACAATCTGGCCGTAAACGCAGAGGCGTCCCAGTAGCTGTCTCTTGCCGAAAAAAAGAAACAACGAAAACTCGCTTTCCAGTCAGAAGATCGTACTTACTTTAGATTTTAACCCTTGACCCCGGATTCCTATACATCCTCCGATATTTTTATATATGTAATTTACTGTCTTATTTATGACTATAATTTATGATTATTGTAAAAGATAACGAACCGAACGATGAGGGAAACTTTATTTCTTAAAGGTGGGTCCTCAACAAGTGGATCCATCGTATTTTATTTATACACTGTGATATTTTTTCGGTCGGTGTTTTGCAGTTTCCACCGGCTTAAAAGAATAAATATTTATTATTTTAATTTTGCGTTTGTCTGTACTACCCTTTTGCCCGGTCTAGAAACGGGTCATATCTCAGGAGATCATAAACATTCGAAGCCCACTCAGCAGTTTCAGCAATAACAAACTGTTTTATAAATACTCTCCTTACTAGACGTTTCTTGCCACTGATATACATTATACTTTTGTTATGCAATCGGTTCGTTTTATTTTTGCTCCGGCTACATTCGGAGGAGCCGCAAAAATGTTTCTCTCAAGGTGATTGCACGTTGACCCGGCATTCTGCGAAGAACCGGCCGAGTTCTCACGAATCGACTGCCGATTCCTAAGAATCTTTCTCTCCTCGTCTAGCCGAATCTTCCTCTTGTTGGGGATCCATCTCTACCTGATTTTCGTTTACCCGCCAAACTCGGACCCTTTACCACGCGAGAGCCGCCAATTCACACGGCCATTGTTTTTAATGTCTTTGGTAAAGATGTGATAATCAATAGTTTCAACAAGCACTGTCCACAATCTCGTTAGAAGGAAGCGATGGGAACCGATTTGTCACGAGGGTTCTAATCACTTCTGACTCTAAAGCCTAGATGGTCAAACGAACCATCCAAAAGACTTTAAAGAATTTCCGATCTTCTTACCACTCCGGATAACCTTGATCCCATTTTCGGCATTTCCTCTGAGTCAAATTTCGCCGAGTTTGGGTGGAATCCGGTAACCGAATGTGTTTGGTCTTCGTCACCAAATGTCTTTTGGTACCGTTAACACGGTGTTAATATCGAGTGGGTACCCAAACGGACGCGTTGTGTCACCGACCAGGTGAAAGTTATCGGTAAAAGATGAATCCTGCATGAGTGTCTATATAGAGCCAACGTAATGTTGCGCAAATTCTATCTTAATTTCATCGATTTTAACTACCGGAAATTCCTTTAACTTTCTGTTGTGATAAATCGTAAGTATTTCAACGAAACGAACGAGTGTTTTGAGTAGTTCAAGGGATGGTTGCCCCTCCCATATTTCGGCACCGGAGACAGAGAGATTAAGGAATGATTTGCACTTCGGGAAAAAAACAACCCCAACCGTCATGTCATCCTCGGGTGAAATATTTGAATGGCCACCGTATTCTTTTCGTTAATCCGTGAGCTGGGAGTCGAATGACTCCATTGCGGTAAGAGGGGTTGTCAGGTTTATGTCCGGGGCGATAAGTGTCTTGACGCGAGCGAAAAATGGACGATTTATTGGGTTTCCAGACCGGGGTTGGTAATTTGTCTTGGGTGCCGCAAAGAGGTGCCGCGAAGGGCGGACTCGGAGGGTAGTGCCCTTCGGCGTCAGACCGCCCGCTGTGTGGCGCAGGGGGCGCCACACACCGCCCTCTACGTTCCCACACTCCAGCCCACCCAATTTGCAAACGAAAACATTCCTCGAAAAAAGGATCGAAAAGGAGAAGAGGCGCAGACTCCGGGTCTTTTCCTTTTTCGTTCTTCTATGACAAAGGAGGAATCCTAATTGCGGGATAAATCGACGATTTCTGGCGTGTGTTTCGCTCGTCCGAATACCGGACCATGAGAACATGGGTTTTAACGGAAAAAAGGCCAGCGTGAGGCGTGGAATTTGTCCAGTTTAACTACGCCGGGTAGCGATGTCCACCGTTGATAACAATATCTCCCGTCCGGTCTTCTTCGCCGTGTGTCCTTTCGGCGAGAACATCGAGGATCGCATTCTGTTTTTCTGTTGTGCGCCATCGGCCTTTGGCACGAAGCGCCGAACAGGTAGGCTCTCGTTTTGCTCACTCGTTTCTTCAGCGTTGTCTTTGTCTCAAGTCGCCGAACATCAAGCCGCGTTTAAACTTCAAGGTTTTTATTCAATAAGATTACAACAAATTTCTTTACAAGACGTTTAGAAAAAACGACGAGAAGAAAATCATTTTTACCCATCCATTACTGGTAAGTGGAAAGTTTTGAATCAAAAAATTGTTGTTGTTGGTGAAGACACAACTTTGAGATTTTTTGGTGAGCAGGATACCAGGGCCTCCCAAAAGTGTCCGAATTTGCATTTTACATCCGCGGCCGTCGTATCTCTACACGTAATCTGGTGTCCGAACCGGCGCCCGCTTTGTCTCTCGCCGTCCATTCGCTTTCTCAATGGACGATGTGACCTATGGCCGGCCAGCGCACTACATAACGATCCGTTTGACGGCGTCCGACGCCGGATTTCGTGCCTACCTGGTCTCCGAGGTCTTGTAAAACAATTAAAAAAGGATCGAGTCGGATAACACCAGCCCATTCACCGACACGGCTTAACGATTATTGACTCGATGTAAATTAGTCCTAAAAAGCAGAACTAAAGATTTTTTTACTCTCTTATAGAAATCTTTCTGTATCGGTTTCCTTATTTCATCTCAAGTTTTTGCAAATCATTAGGAATAGCATAAGAATCATCAATAAGATTTTGCATCTATCTCAATAATTAGTTTGGTCTTTATGCACTTTAATAAATATTCATCTTGTCTAATTTGTGCACTCGAATTCACAGCAATGAGAGAGTATCCTAGATTAAAGTACTAGCCCAATCTGGGGCCCAACCCAACTGAATTCAACAGAACCCAACAATTTTTCTTAATTTGTTATAGAGAGACACTTTTCTATTCTTCTTCCTTTGGCTTATCATCTCTGGTAGAACAGAAACTTTTACATCACTTTTCACTCTCCTGATTGCGTCCATGGCCTTCCCTAAAGTCGTTCTGGTCTTCATTTTTCCTCCATTTCCTTCATGTAGATCACAAGTCGGTCTTTAGCTTCTCAATCCGATTTTTGACACATTCATTATATGCATACAAGAAAATTAAAGTACCCAAGAGGTATGCAATACTTTTTTCCTTGTGCATAGTTTGCATCTTCATACCTTTTGGTTTGTCCCTAAATTTCTTTTCGTTATTTTTATCTGAGATTTCTTCAGATACTTTCATATAAAGAATTTCAATAAATCACTTTTTTCCAATTACCTGACCGGGTCGAGGGATTTTTCGGTTTGCAAGTTTATTTATCCGCTGTCAAAACGTTTACACGTCCATGACTTACCACTACTCTTCTTCTCTCATTCGTATACAAAGAATCTGACCGACCCTATTGTTTCGCGGCATTTTCAGGCGCCTCCTTATCACTCAATCTCTCGCGTTCATAAATCACACGCCCTGCGAACCCCCCGAATAAAGAAACGAAGCGACTGTGGTCCATCCAGCATTCCATCCGAAATGAAGTTTTTTATAAAGTTTTCTTTGGTTCTCTCGTTGCTTGGTGGGTATTACGAATTTATTCTCGCGCACACCTCCAGCTGGACGTACCCACGTGGAGTTTCGCAAACCGACGACAAGTGTCTTTCTGGACGCGAGCATTTCCTTTCACAAAAGCGTTTCGTTCGGCTATTTTGCAATTTAATCGTCGTTGGATTCATTCTCACTTCAAATGAATTAAACATTCGAAAGTACAATATTTGAAATTAAAAAAGAATCGAGCCAAAATTATTTTCTTATTTGTCTACTCCGTAATAGATGGCGTACATAATAGCAATGTTTATCAAAATTTAATTTCAACATAGAACTCGAAAATAGATGATACAAAAAGGATTTAATCTCAAGTTCTGTCAGGATGAAATCGTGAATAAGAGATTGTTGCATTGGAGCACTTAGCGAGCCGCTAACAACGTGTATAAATCTGTGGGGAACCTTTCAACGGTCAAAAGCGTGCTGGTGAGACGAAAAGGAAATATAAAAACGATCTCCCCATATTTATCGATACGCGCCACGCTCTTGTATGCTCGAAATTATCGGGCCGTATTTATGTTTTTATAAATTTAGACACATTTATATGCTAATTGGGGCGGTCCGCGAGAGGATCGTCGTAAATATTCGTACCGATGAAATAAAATCGGTCCATTGTAGGTGATACGTGATTTATGGGGGGACGCGAAAAGAAACACGCGAGTTAGCAAGCTATTTTTTGACTTATCAAAAATCTTTATTAATATTCAAAATTAAAAATGAAAATATTTTTGAATAAAGGTTACATGATCACATCTACGAAAACCCTGAATCACCTATTCTTTTAAACATGATTTTGTCGAAAAAATCATTAATTAATTTGAATAAACAAAAATAATCATGTAACATGCAAATTTTTATCACATTTTGATTTCACAAATAATCCTTGAATTATTTTTAAGAAATCCCCTGATTCTATATAATATGTGTAATTTTTTGCGGATTATTTTTTGTAAATCAACAATGTTTAAGAATAAAATTTTTCTTTTTATGCCTTTTTGTACCTGTTTTATTCTTCACTTGCATATCTTACAATATTTTACAATCTTGCTTCGAGATTAATGTTTTCAAAGCTTTAGGTGTTTCACAACTTGTCATAACTCTGATTGACAAGTGCGTCCTCAGGATGCAATACAAATCACTTTACCTTTCAAGTTATGCCCAAGATTGCTCTATTTCAGCTTATAATTTATTGATAATTAATAATTTTTGATGTGTAATGTAAATAAATATAAGAATAAATTTATATTTTGATCAAGTTGAAAATTTTCCGATTATTTATCGCTTGTGATGTTACTAGCTGGTAATAAAACAACAATTAAGTTTTTTTGCTTTAAGTATCCGGCGATTTATAGCAACAAAGACGTTCAGAGCAGGTACTAGCATCCACAACCGGCAATTTAAATTCTAGCCAAGTGACTCAGGTCTTATTATATAATGTAATCGGTGATGATTTAACTTTTTCCCGTTCGGCGATGGTCGTTTTTCTTTCAGAGTTGCTTCGATTTAACCTTCTTCTCTCCAAGTCGAGCTCCGCGAACGCATATCCGATACCGTTAGCTTTCTCCTTCGTTTGTGTCGCAGCTCTAAGGTTCCCCCCGATTTAACAGTCTCGCATTATACCGAGCGTTTCTCGACGACCATAAACCTCCCGGTGACAATGGAACGGAGCTAATGTCAGCCGACCCGTACATGCGCGGTTAATTAGTAAGT